CTCCTCCTCCTCCTCCTCCCTTCCTTCCTTCCTTCCTTCCTTCCTTCCTTCCTTCCTTCCTTCCTTTCCTTCCTTCCTCCCTCGGCCGCTGCAAAGTATTAAAGCCTCTTTTGAGCAGCACCCTCGCGAGGGTATCATCCCGCACGCTAGCGCCATCACCGCCGCCATCATCCTCCTCTCCTCCTCCTTCTTCTTCTTCTTTTTCTTCCTTTTCTTCTCCTTCGCCTTCTCCCTCCTCCTCTCCTCCTTCCTCTTTTCTTCTTCTTCTTCTTCCTTTTCTCTCTCTTCCTTCTTCTTCTTCTTCCTGCTTCTTCTTCCTCTTCTTCTCTTCTCTCCTTCCCCTCCTCCTCCCCTCCCCCTCCTCTCCCCCTTCCCTCCCCTCCTCCCCCTCCCTCCCCCTCCTCCTCCCCTCCCCTCCTCCTCCTCCCACACACCAAGCCCACTTCGCCGGCCGTAATCAGCCCTCCATCGCCGCGACAATCACCGCCGCCAAAGGACCGCAAGCAGGCGAGCGGGCGCGGCGAGAACCGGCCGTCACGCGAGAGCGCCCTCTTGGCCGCGGGTGCCGCTGCCGCCGCCCGCGCTCGCTGGTGGCACTCGGCGGCGGCGATGGAATCAGCGGCGGCCGCAAGGTGACGCTGATTGCGCCTGCTTGCGTGTCTGTCTTGCGTGGCTGTTTATCCATTTGTAAACCGCCGTGGGACATCGTGGCCGGGACTTGGAGAAAGATGTGCGCTATTCTGTCGGTCTGTCTCTTTCTCCCTCCCCCACGCCCTCTCTCTCCCTCTCTCTCATCTCTCTCTCTCTCTCTCTTCTCTCTCTCTCTCTCTCTCTCTATCTCTCTCTCTCTCTCTCTCTCTCGCTCTCTCAGCTCTTCTCGCTCTCTCGCTCTCATCTCTTCTCTCCTCCCTCGTCCGCTCTCTCTCGCTCTCTCCTCTCTCCTCGCTCTCTCTCCGCTCTCACTCTCCTCCCTCATCTCTCTCTCTCAAGAAAAGACTAATTCACTCCCGTTTCGAATTTCTCAGCGAGTGGATTTCGAGACGTTGTACTTCCGGTTGTGATGAGGCACGGGAGATGAGCGACATGATGATAACAACCCTGAGAGTTACAATCATAATGATCTCCAATCTCGCATCATCATAATAGTCATAAAAATCGGGGTAGCAACAATAACAACAATACCAAAACAATGGAGATGATGATGATGATGATAATCAAAGTCATAATAATTATAATCATAACATAATAATAATAATGAAAATAATAATGTAAATAATAATAATAATAAAACAACAACATAACAACAATATAATAAGGAATAACAAATAATAATAAAAATAATGATAATAACAAAATCTAACAAAAAAAACAAGTACATACTACCGTGACCGGCCAACGTTAGGGCAGGTCAGGAAGAACCCACGCAGGCAAAAAGAACGCAAACAGGAAGAAAGGAAAAAGAAAAAAGGAAAAAAAAAAAAAAAAGAGACGAGAATCCACTTCCACCTCCGTGCTTACGTCTTACCAACGAGAGACATTCTTCCTCACGTCCTTGGATTCCATAAAGGTTTTCTGGGCCTGAAACCTCGCTTCACCTCCCCCTGCCCCTCCCACCCAACCCCCACCACCACCTTCCCCCCTCCACCCCTTCTTCTGCCCCTGGTCTTTCCTTCGACCATTTTTTTTCTTTCTTTCTTTTCTTTCTTTTCCTCTTTCGCTTTTCTCTTCATTGGCACTATAAATTTTCTTTACTCCCCCTCCTTTGGCTGCCACTTACTTTACATTTACTTACTCCTTCTCCCCTTTTCGCTGTCCCTTACTTCCTTTTACTTACTCCCCCTTTGGTTGTCCCTTACTTTTACTTATTCCCTCCTTTGGCTACCCCTTACTTACCTTGTCTTCTTGTTTTTGTCTTTCCCTTTTCCTTCGCCCCTTAAACATTCCCTTTCTCTGCTCTCCTTTCCCTCTTCGCTTTTATTTCCACGCTGCTTTTCTCCTTGCCTACTCTCCTTTCCCTATTTCTTTTCAAATTCTTCTCTTTTCCCGTCCCTACTTCCCTTTCTTCTCTCCTCTCCTCTCTTCTCCTTCCTCCTCTCTTCTCTCTTCTTTCCTTATCTCTTCTCTTCTCTTCTCCTCTCCTCTCCTCTCCTCTCTCTTCGCCTTCTCTCTTCCTTCTCTCTTTTCTTCTTCTTCTCTTTCTTCTCCTCTTCTCCTTTCTTCTTTCTTCTCCTTCTCTCTTCTCCCTCTCTCTCCTTCCTCCCTCCTCTCACCTCTCTTCTCTTCTCCTCTCCTCTCCTCTCCCCCCTCTCTTTCTCCTCCTCCTCCCCTTTGCAACACCACAAACCACAGCCCCCAAAGGAGCACAGTGACAATGTCAAAGTAACAAAACAGCGATTTTTTAACGCGATGGCACCCACTGCCACACCAGCCAGAAGGCACGACCAACAAGCCACCTTCGAGCCACAATCAAACCAGCTGCGGAGGGTAAAATCACCCCTAAGGGAGGGGAAGGGGAAGGGAGGGAGGAAAAGGGAGGGAGAGAGAAAGGGAGGGAGGAGGGAGGAGGGAGGGAGGGAGAGGAGGGGAGGGGAGGAGGGAGAAGGGGGGTAAGAGAAAACGAGAGAGAGAGAGAGAGAGAGAGAGAGAGAGAGAGAGAGAGAGAGAGAGAGAGAGAGAGAAGAGAGGAGAGAGAGAGAGGAGAGAGAGAGAGAGAGAGAGAAAAGAGAGAGAAAGAGAGAGAAAGAGAGAGAGAGAGAAAGAGCGAGAAAAGAGAAAGACGAGAGAGAGCGGAGAGAAAGAGTAAAGAGGAGAGGAGAAA